CTGCCCCGCACCGCGGGGCGCTCTGCTGGAGCCTGGCGCGCTGGGCGGCCGCGGCCTCCGTCGGAGGTCAGGGTCAGAGCTCAGCCCGGACCCGTGCCGAAGGCGTGTGAGCAATACCCGCCTCGGCGCGTGGTCACGGGTTTTCACCCTTTTTTCCCCATACGGCTGTGGTCAGGGCAGCTCCTGCAAATAGGAGCTAGAAACCTTGGTCAGACACACAGTCCCTGTGGTCCCGCTTCAGGGAGACTGCAGTTCCTCTCCAGGCTCTTGCCTGCTGCCCTGCTCCAGCTGCTGTCGTGACCGTATAGTGAGCAAGACTCAGAAAATCTGCATGGACCTTTGCTTTGTAGCAGATTTAAAAAACAATCAAAGTTGACCCCCAGCCTGTGAGAGAGAGAGAAATTTTTTTCCCCGATTTTACTCTGGGATTTCAGAGGAAGTTCTGGTTCTTATGTGGGCTGCCGCCACAATGGAGGTGGGTGTGCTACTGGGCAGCAAAACAGGGAAGCACTTAACGTTCAGGGAAGCGCTGCCCAGGGATAGGCAGGGGGAGAGCTGTGCTCCTGCCCTGCAGAGTACTCTGTGCTGGCAAGCCATGCTCCCCGCCGAGGCCTTCTGTGGAGACCCACAAGGTGTCCTTGGACCCCAGAGAAAGCGGGTGCAGGTCCTGCAGCCCTGTCAAGTCTCGGGCCGTGGTGGTTTCTGTGGAGCGTGTCAGGATCAGACCACGCCCTCCTGGACATGACATTGCAGGTTGGCTCTTGGGACAGAAAAGAACCCAAATAATGCCATGTGGGACATTTTGATTAATGATGTTGAGAGTGACATGTGAGAGTTAGTAACCTTTCCGTCAGAACTGAATATGTGCTTATTTGAAAAATTTTGATTGATACATGGTTGTGTATTCTCAGGCAAAGGTTGATTTACTGAAGTTGTGTGTGCTTCTGATTTATTTTAATAACCTAAGGCAAATAATGTTTGAAAATTAAAAGCTGTTGCTTAACAATTAGTCAGGTCCATTTGATCACAAAATCTGTTCTGTAATGTTTACACAGTGAACAGTGAATTCTTTATGCACACCTGCAAGGCTAGGATCTTATTGGCATCACAGAGACCTGGTGGGATGGCTTGTATGACTGGAGCATTGGAATGGAAGGATACAGGCTCTTTAGGAAGGACAGGCAGGGGAGATGAGGAGAGGGTGTCATCCCCTATGTCAGTGACCAGCTGGAGGGCATGGATCTCCACCTGGGGATGGATGAGGAGCCGACTGAGAGCTTATAGGTCAAGATTAATGGGAGAGCAGGGATGGGTGACATTATAGTGGGGGTCTGCTACAGGCCACCTGACCAGGAAGTCTTGAGCGGATGAGGCCCTCTATAGACAGATAGGAGCAGCCTTATGTTCACAAGCCCTGGTCCTCATGGGGGACTTCAGCCACCCCAGTATCTGTTGGAGGCACAACACAGCATGGCATAAGCAATCCGTGAGGTTACTGGAATATGTTGATGATAACTTCCTACTCCAAGTGATAGGGGAGACAACAAGGAGAGGTGCTATGCTGGACCTTGTACTCATCAGTAAGGAGGGACTGGTGGGGAATGTCAGCTCAAGGGCAGTTTTGGCTGTGGTGACCATGAAACAGTGGAGTTCAAGATCCTTAGGGCACCAAGGAGGGTGCACAGCAAGCTCACTACCCTGAACTTCAGGACAGCAGACTTTGGCCTCTTCAGGGATCTGTTTGGTAGAGCACCATGCGATAAAATCCTGGAGGAAAGGGGGGCCCTAGAAAGCTGGTTGATATTCAAGGATCACCTTCTCCAAGCTTGGGAGCAATGCATCCCAACAAAGAAGTCGGGCAAAAATGCCAGGAGGCCTGCATGGATGAACAAGGAGCTCCTGGACAAAGTCAAACACAAAAAGGAAGCCTACAGAGGGTGGAAGCAAGGACGGGTAGCCTGAGAGGAATACCGAGAAATTGTCTGAGCAGCTGGGGATCAGGCTAGAAAAGCTGAAGGTAGAATTAAGTCTGGCCAGGGACATCATGGGCAACAAGAAAAACTTCTATAGGTATGTCGCTGATAAAAGGAAGACTAGGGAAAGTGTGGGCCTCCTGCGGAAGGAAACAGGAGACGTGGTTACCCAGGATATGGAGAGGGCGGAGGTACTCAGCAACTTTTTTGCCTCAGTCTTCACTGGCAAGTGCTCAAGCCACGCTGTCCAAGCTGCAGAAGGCAAAGGCAGGGACTGAGAGAATATATTCAGCCAGCTGTCAGCCAACACGCCCAGGTCCCCTCTGCCGGGCAGCTTTCCAGCCACTCTTCCCCATACACATTGCATGGGGTTGTTGTGACTGAACTGCAGGACCTGGCCCTTGGCCTTGTTAAACCTCAGACAGCTGGCCTCAGCCCATTGATCCAGCCTGTCCAGATCCCTCTGAAGAGCCCTCCTCCCCTCCAGCAGGTCAATACTTGCGCCCAATTTGGTGTCACCCACAAACTGACTGAGGGTGCCCTCAATCCCCTTGTCCAGGTCATTGGTAAAGATATTAAACAGAACTGGGCCCAAAATTGAGCCCTGAGGACACCACTTGTTACTGGCCTCCAACTGGATTTAACTCCGTTGACCACAACTGTCTGGGCTCGGCCATCCAGCCAGTCTTTTACCCAGCGAAGAGTACGTCTGTCCATGCCATGAGCCGCCGGCTTCTCTAGGAGAATGCTGTGAGAGACTGTGTCAAAGGCTTTGCTGAAGCCCAGGTAGACGACATCTACAGCCTTTTCCCTCATCCACTAGGCGGGTCACCTGGTCATAGAAGGAGATCAGGTTGGTCAGGTAGGACCTGCCTTTCATGAACCCATGCTGGCTGGGCCTGATACCCTAAGTCATGTCAGTCCGGTGAAGTTCCCACTGTCTGGAAAAGAGAAAACATAACCCCCATTTTTAAAAAGGTTAAAAAAGGAAGACCCAGGGAACTACAGCCTACTCAGTCTCATCTCTGTGCCCAGCAAGATCATGGAGTGGATCCTCCTGGTAACTATGCTAAGGCACATGGAAAATAAGGAGGTGATTGGTGATAGCCAGCATGGCTTCACTTAGGGCAAATTGTGCCCGACTAATTTGGTGGCTCTCTACAACAGGGTTACAGAATTGGTGGATAAAGGAAGGTCAACTGATGTCATCTACCTGGACTTGTGCAAAGCATTTGACACTGTCCCACACAACATCCTTGTCTGCAAATTGGAGAGACATGGATTCCATGACTGGACAAACCGTTGGTGGATAAGGAATTGGCTGGATGGTCGCATTCAGAGTTGCAGTCAACAGCTTGATGTCCAAGTGGAGACCAGTGACAAGCGGCGTTCCTCAGGGGTCAGTAGTGGGATTGGTGCTGTTTAACATATTTGTTGGCAACGTGGACAGTGGGATTGAGTGCATGCTCAGCAAGTTTGCCAACGACACCAAGCTGTGTGGTGCAGTCAACACTCTGGAGGGAAGGGATGCCGTCCAGAGGAGCCCTGACAGGCTTGAGAGGTGGGCCTGTGCAAACCTCATGAAGTTCAGCAAAGCCAAGTGCAATGTCCTGCATATGGGTCAGGGCAATCCCAAGGACAAATACAGACCGGGCAGAGAATGGATTGAGAGAAGCCCTGAGGAGAAGGACTTGGGGGTGTTGATCGATGAGAAGTTCAACATGACCCAGTAATGTGCCCTGCCAGACCAGAAAGCCAACTGTGTCCTGGCCTGCATCAAAAGAAGCATGACCAGCGGGTAAGAGGGGTGATTCTTCCCCTCTACTCCTCTCTTGTGAGACCCCACTTGGAGTACCATGTTCAGCTCTGGGGCCCCCAACAGAAGAAGGACACAAACATGTTGAAGCAACTCCAGAGGAGGACCACGAAGATGATCAGCAGACTGGAGCAACTCTCCTACGAGGACAGGCTGAGAGAGTTGGGGTTGTTCAGCCTGGAGAAGAGAAGGCTCTGGGGAGACCTTATAGCAGCCTTCCAGTACCTGAAGGGGACCTACAAGAAAGCTGGAGAGGGACTGTTAACAAGGGGTAATGGCTTTAAACTGAAAGGGTAGATTCAGATTAGGTATAGTGAAGAAATTCTTCACTATGAGGGTGGTGGGGCACTGGAACAAGTTGCCCAGAGAATTTGGGTATGTCCCATCCCTGGAAGTGTTCAAGGCCAGGTTGGATGGGCCTTGGAGCAACCTGGTCTAGTGGAAGGTGTCCCTGCCCATGGCAGGGGGGTTGGAACTAGATGATCTGGAAGGTCCCTTCCAGCCCAAACCATTCTGTGATTTACCAAAGTTTTTGCTGCTGTTGTTAAATTACATTATAAGGAGATTTTTGTTTGTTTCAGTGAAGAGAGAATCAGTCTTAAAGTCAGAAGATGCTTTCTGCTGCTATTGTGAAGTTTTACAGCTGCTTGCCTGCATGATTCACTCAAGGAATAAATGACTTTTCAGCCAAAATCCTCAGGAGAAATAAACTACAGTATAGTAGAGACACAAACATTTCAAAATACATTTAGGTGGTTGAGCCGTTCCTGGTAGTGCTAGTTTTTGTGGTGGTTTTTTTTTTTTTTTTAGTCAGTGAATTGGCTTTAAATGGATTATTGAAAATTACATTTTAAACTGCTCCGCCTGATATGTGCCTTTGGCCCAGGCTGAAATCTGTGAGGTTTGTCCTGGCTGGAAGCTTAGAGAAGCTTTCAGCAGCTGAGTTAAGAACCCTAAAACACTGGAAATAGTGTCTTTGTGAGAAAACCCAGTTTCTTTCACAAACTGTTGCTTCTGGATTAAAGTAGTGGTCAGCACAGCAAGGCATTTCAACTGTGGTGACAACCAAATTTGCAGCACTGATAAACTCTAAATTATGATTCCCATGATTTCTTTGCAGTGGTTCCTTGTCTTCTGGCCCAGTGAAAGCTGAGGTAGAATTGTATGTTGGGGGTAGTTTCAGCGACAAGAAATGTCTGTCTTTGAAAGATCTTGACCTGATCAGAATGTACCCAAAATGGGCAAAGTGACATTTGCCTACACGTGACTAATGTCCAATGCCTGGAAATACAGAGCTTTGTGGCACTAGGGAAAACAAAGCGGGTGCAGAGAATGTTTTTCACAGCCCTGAATTCTAGTCATTTTTCTTTGTTTTTCAGGTCTCAGAAACTGAAAGGCTTTCATATGTGGGGAATAACTTTGGCAGTGGAGTTATGAAATGCAACTCCCTATGCAGGTATGGATTGCTGGCAGAATGGGGGCAGCAGCGTGGAGGTGGAAGCAGAGCAACTGCTCAGATGCAAAGTTCCTGGTAGCCTTTCTTACAGCTGTCTCAGAAGTTCCCACTGAGGCTGTGGTCTGAATCAAGAGGATTTTGACAGGAGACTCCAGCACCTGGCAGTTGCATTGTTTGTGCATGTTATGTCCCTTTGGAAGTTGTGATGTTACATACAAATAGAGTGTATTTGAACAGGTCTTCTGAAAGGTGAGGAGATGATTTGATATTGCCGAAACCTAGGACTGACAGCAAATTGGAGAGACATGGATTCCATGACTGGACAAACCGTTGGTGGATAAGGAATTGGCTGGATGGTCGCATTCAGAGTTGCAGTCAACAGCTTGATGTCCAAGTGGAGACCAGTGACAAGCGGCGTTCCTCAGGGGTCAGTAGTGGGATTGGTGCTGTTTAACATATTTGTTGGCAACGTGGACAGTGGGATTGAGTGCATGCTCAGCAAGTTTGCCAACGACACCAAGCTGTGTGGTGCAGTCAACACTCTGGAGGGAAGGGATGCCGTCCAGAGGAGCCCTGACAGGCTTGAGAGGTGGGCCTGTGCAAACCTCATGAAGTTCAGCAAAGCCAAGTGCAATGTCCTGCATATGGGTCAGGGCAATCCCAAGGACAAATACAGACCGGGCAGAGAATGGATTGAGAGAAGCCCTGAGGAGAAGGACTTGGGGGTGTTGATCGATGAGAAGTTCAACATGACCCAGTAATGTGCCCTGCCAGACCAGAAAGCCAACTGTGTCCTGGCCTGCATCAAAAGAAGCATGACCAGCGGGTAAGAGGGGTGATTCTTCCCCTCTACTCCTCTCTTGTGAGACCCCACTTGGAGTACCATGTTCAGCTCTGGGGCCCCCAACAGAAGAAGGACACAAACATGTTGAAGCAACTCCAGAGGAGGACCACGAAGATGATCAGCAGACTGGAGCAACTCTCCTACGAGGACAGGCTGAGAGAGTTGGGGTTGTTCAGCCTGGAGAAGAGAAGGCTCTGGGGAGACCTTATAGCAGCCTTCCAGTACCTGAAGGGGACCTACAAGAAAGCTGGAGAGGGACTGTTAACAAGGGGTAATGGCTTTAAACTGAAAGGGTAGATTCAGATTAGGTATAGTGAAGAAATTCTTCACTATGAGGGTGGTGGGGCACTGGAACAGGTTACCCAGAGAAGTTGTGAATGCCCCATTCCTGGAAGTGTTCAAGGCCAGGTTGGATGGGCCTTGGAGCAACCTGGTCTAGTGGAAGGTGTCCCTGCCCATGGCAGGGGGGTTGGAACTAGATGATCTGGAAGGTCCCTTCCAGCCCAAACCATTCTGTGATTTACCAAAGTTTTTGCTGCTGTTGTTAAATTACATTATAAGGAGATTTTTGTTTGTTTCAGTGAAGAGAGAATCAGTCTTAAAGTCAGAAGATGCTTTCTGCTGCTATTGTGAAGTTTTACAGCTGCTTGCCTGCATGATTCACTCAAGGAATAAATGACTTTTCAGCCAAAATCCTCAGGAGAAATAAACTACAGTATAGTAGAGACACAAACATTTCAAAATACATTTAGGTGGTTGAGCCGTTCCTGGTAGTGCTAGTTTTTGTGGTGGTTTTTTTTTTTTTTTTAGTCAGTGAATTGGCTTTAAATGGATTATTGAAAATTACATTTTAAACTGCTCCGCCTGATATGTGCCTTTGGCCCAGGCTGAAATCTGTGAGGTTTGTCCTGGCTGGAAGCTTAGAGAAGCTTTCAGCAGCTGAGTTAAGAACCCTAAAACACTGGAAATAGTGTCTTTGTGAGAAAACCCAGTTTCTTTCACAAACTGTTGCTTCTGGATTAAAGTAGTGGTCAGCACAGCAAGGCATTTCAACTGTGGTGACAACCAAATTTGCAGCACTGATAAACTCTAAATTATGATTCCCATGATTTCTTTGCAGTGGTTCCTTGTCTTCTGGCCCAGTGAAAGCTGAGGTAGAATTGTATGTTGGGGGTAGTTTCAGCGACAAGAAATGTCTGTCTTTGAAAGATCTTGACCTGATCAGAATGTACCCAAAATGGGCAAAGTGACATTTGCCTACACGTGACTAATGTCCAATGCCTGGAAATACAGAGCTTTGTGGCACTAGGGAAAACAAAGCGGGTGCAGAGAATGTTTTTCACAGCCCTGAATTCTAGTCATTTTTCTTTGTTTTTCAGGTCTCAGAAACTGAAAGGCTTTCATATGTGGGGAATAACTTTGGCAGTGGAGTTATGAAATGCAACTCCCTATGCAGGTATGGATTGCTGGCAGAATGGGGGCAGCAGCGTGGAGGTGGAAGCAGAGCAACTGCTCAGATGCAAAGTTCCTGGTAGCCTTTCTTACAGCTGTCTCAGAAGTTCCCACTGAGGCTGTGGTCTGAATCAAGAGGATTTTGACAGGAGACTCCAGCACCTGGCAGTTGCATTGTTTGTGCATGTTATGTCCCTTTGGAAGTTGTGATGTTACATACAAATAGAGTGTATTTGAACAGGTCTTCTGAAAGGTGAGGAGATGATTTGATATTGCCGAAACCTAGGACTGACAGCTCTGTTATTAAGAAAGAAAGACATTAAGATTAAGAAATAGCCAAGATCATCTTCTGTTGCCCAGGAAACCCCATGGTCATTAATCACCATTTAACTTCAGGACCACAGCATGATGCTGCTACGTGAACTAACAAACTGTCTGTGCCATGGGCTGTAAAGGGACGCGTTGGTGAAGCCACCAGCAGTTACATTTCCTGGTTTAGGAATGTGATGTTTGTAGCATTGGGGCAGATCCCGCTGGCCTCCTAAGAAGTATTCTGCATGTGAGATCCTTGTTCTCTAAGAAGAGAACCACCACATGGGTGGAGAGCCAATGTGATACAGTCTCACCTTGTTATACCCAAATGTGTTTCTTTTCTCCTTTCATGCATATTATGGCTCCTAGTAGCCTACACAATGCTGAAATGCATGTAATGTGCATGTCAGGCTCTTGGTACCAAGTACTCTGCCCAGGAGATCCACTCCAGCTGCTGCGCATGGTTTGCTTGCGTAGGTCACCTCTCCTCTAGTTGGACTGCACTGCCCTGATGGTGTCTGACTAGTTAAAGTACGGGTGGGGTGAGGGAGTGAAGAGCAAACTGAGTTGTGCAAAACTGTTAGGAAGAGGAGGTGCTTTCAGACAATAGTGCCCTGGTGGCCCTATGTTCTGAATAAGACTTGACATTAGGAAGTATTTATTTACAGAGAGGGTGGTCAAATGTTGGACCAGGCTTCCTAGCTAGGGGGTCGATGCCCCATTCCTGCCAGTGTTTAAGAGGCATTTGGACAGTGCCCTAAATAATTTGCTTTAACTTTTGGTCAGCCCTGAATTGGTCAGGCAGTTGGACTAGATGATCATTGTAGGTCCCTTCCAACTGCAATACTCTGTTCTGTCCTGTCAAAGGAACTGGTTTCACCTCTGCAGATCGTCTGTCAAAACATGCTAATACTCATCTTTGTTCTTCTTTCTGAGAAGTGAAACCAGGAGAGCTGGACCTTCAGATGTAACAGTCTTCAGTTTAAGATGCTGTAGCTGAAAAAACGCACCAAGGGGCCTTTTCTTCCTGAGATTGGAAAGATAAATTTAGTTTAATGAATATGTACCACTAGTTTAGTGAATATTGTGTGCAGGTATCAGTGCAGTATTATTTCTAGGCAGATTTAGCACTCTTCTCTCTGAACACTTCACATCACTGGTTAAGGGATGGTTTTAGTGGCTTGAGTGGTTCTGGAGATCCTGAGCTATGGAAACTAACAAGGCAGCATAGCTGCTGATACATGTTCAGCTTCAGGTATTAGCTTTGCATTAGGTGTGCACATGCCTCAGGATCTCCAGCGATGCAGGCCAGAATCAATTAAGTCCTTTTTTGCTTTTCTTTTAAGTTTTCCCACCCCATCCTTCTGTCTCTTTCCTCCCACATCTGCTTCAGCTGCATGCATGAGGATTTCCTCCAGTGCATCTGTTCCTGTAGCTCTTGGCAGCTGTCAGCCTAAAACTCTGCACTCACCACTGCTCGTGAGTACAACAGGGAGCAGAAACCACCTCTGAGCAAACAGTCCAGTTTATTCTGAATGGAGAGTCAGTGAGTCTCAGACCTCTGGGCTTCCTGGGACGGCAGGAACTGCCCCAGACCCTTTCTGGCCAGCGGGGTGCTGTGACTCTCACTGTGCTCAGGCAGCTCCCCTGAGAGCATTGCTCCCAGTGCAACAAACAGCCTGTTGTGCAAGTGGGTCCTGTCTTCAGAAAGCATCTCCTGAGTTTTAGGAAGGTGTGTTACAGGACTGAGCGAGTTCAGGCACCAGTCAGAAGGGATCATGTGGGATGAACTCTTCTGGCTGGATAAGAAACTGGTGCTGTTGATAACCCGAGCACCTTCAGCCAAGGGTGACATACAGCCTGTTCCTGGTGGGTCATGAGACATGGTGAGCAGCAGCACAAACCATTTGGGCTTACCCCTCTGAAATGTGGGATGAAAAGGAATTTACCTAAGAGAAAATACCCTATTCTAGAGACAGCAAAGTCACATTTCTGAGAAGCTCTGAGGAGTTCAAGTCACTTGTACTAAGCAGAGAACTGGTCACAGGGAACCCAAGGTTTAAAAACACAAGAAACTGCATAGAGGCACTGAGAAACCAAGGGTGCTGACACATGAAAAAAGATGAAAGAGAATAGTAGCTAGCACTCTGGCACCTAGACTTTGTGCATTTTGGAGCTAATGTAATTGTCTTAAGGCTTCTGCATTTACTTAGAGCAACAAATCTGTATTTTTTGATGTGTACATATGTATATAGTGTGTGCCTTGGAGGTAATTTGTTTTATTGTGACATTTTGAGTGTGCTCGGAAAACTTGTATTTTCAAGGGAAAAGAGTTGGCAGAGGATGGGGAGCACGCATGGCTCTGCACCATGTGCTTTAAAACACCACTTCCACTGGGCTGTCTCTCACTAATCACCTGCCCCTGTTCTTCCCAGGTATTTTGTTGGTGTGTTAGACAAGGACTCTGGGCAAATGGAAGTCTATGATGCTGAAATATTCAACATGCAGCCCTTGCTGTCAGGTAGGAGCACACGGCATTTCACCCCAGCACCAGCGTTGCAGCACGCCAGGCCGACGCGTGCATTCGGCTGTTGACTGCTTGGGTGCTGCAGCAGTGCTCTCTTGTCTCCCTGGCTGCTCTTTCTTCCTCATTTCTATCTTACTCCCTCAGCGCAGAGGAAGAAACATCGCACTTTCTAAGGCACTGTGTGATGTGAAAAACAGAGAGGGAAGCAAGGTGAAAGTTAGGGTGGAGGTTAAGCAGAGGACGTTACGGGTGGGAGGGTGAAGGTGCTGAAGTCAGTAACAAAGTTGTCTCTGTTCAAAGTGCAGCTTTCTCCGGGTCTGCTCTGCTGAGGGAAGCCTGGAAGTTGTCAGGTCAGAGGACTGGATTATTGAAAAGCAAAAGAGCTTTTCTTCAGCAGAACTGCTGTTTGGTACTGAACCCAGGAGGATAACCCAAAGAATACAGGGTTTTGGGAGCTTATTTTTTCCCTGTGCAGCAGAACCTGGGTATTGCTGCAATCCATGTGTTATGCTCGTAGGCTTTATAGCAAAAATTGGTCTGCTTCTCCTTTTTTCTTCTAGGTACATATCCTTCTATTCAGTGTGTTCTTTAATTAACAAAGTCCTGTGGAGGAGATCTTGAAGTGTTATGCCAGGTCTTTCAGTAATGGGTTAGAGCTAAAGGGATGCTGAATACTGGCTGCTGCAAGCCAAGCATACTAACTAACTTTTGTTCTTTTATAGATAACTTAATACCCGATGACACAAAGGATTACCAGAATAAATCCTACAGGGAGAAGGTAAAGTTGAAACCCCATATCACTTTCCATGGTGATTATTCAGCTAACAGTGGCAGATGATACTTGTCTGAGACTGTGATGTTTTGTTTACTGCCAGGTAAACCTGTGCAGGTTCAGCAATTTCTCTGTGCTGTGGGGGTCTGTGAGACAGTGCATAATTAGTCCCTCACTTGGCAGTATTTTATTTCAAACTTGATTACAAGCCCAGTTACTTCCTGCCCCCTTGCAGATCAGTGCTTGTTGTATGGTTGGGTTGTGCTCAGTGAAATGATTGAGGTTTTCATAGGGAATGTGAATGTTGAATAAGTGGTGGTTAGCTGAGTTTTCCTCTGAGATGCAGTGTGTTTTAATTTGCTTCTCTCCTGCACAGATGGATTTGTGCATTGAGGCCTTCGGTACCAGCAAGCAGAAGCGAGCTCTGAACTCTAGGCGAATGAATGCAGTGGGCAATGATATTCTGAGTACTGCTGTGACAAAAGCAGCAGCAAACGTTATAGATGCAAAGGGAGTAACAGGTAAGAATATTGTCTCAGGGTTTAATGAAGGCAATCAGAAGTGCCTTTATCTGTCTGTTCCTTGCCACGTGTGGTAGGAAGAAGAAAGGGGTTTTCTTTGATTGACCAAGGAGGCAGCTGGTCTAACAGCTGAGAAGGGCATATGTGGAGGAACGCGCAGATCTTTCTGGTGGAAAAGGAACTGCTTCCTTCTGATCCTGCTAGACATAGTGTGGGAGTTGCCTGAATGAGGGAAGGTCCCTGTGGCATCAGTGTCTGTCCCTGCCCATTGTTGGGAGCTCTTCTGAGAGTCCCTGGATATCAGTTTACTGGGGTAAAGGCAATACATTCACCTGGTCTGAACTGAGACGCTGAACGTTCGTTAAGGTGAACTGTACTCCGGCTTAACAGTGGCATGTCTATGGGAAATGGTCTGTACCCTAAACCAGGTCACATCAAGAATCATCCCCAGTGCAGTTGTGAGCCAGGATGATGGTCTTAGGCATCTGCTATGGAGGAGCCTGGAGCAAAGAGGAGTCTGCCATGGCCGTAGTTGTTGTCACTACTGCAGGGAAAGTTCACTGTCCAAAGCATCGCACTGAGGTGATGTTTCAAGGAGAGTTGGTAACCCTGCTACTGAGTGTTGCTGAGTCTGCATCTGTATTATGTTGTCCAGCCTGTGCCAGCCACTTGTGCCACCACCCTGATCAAGAAGGAGGTGCAGCCCTGGAACTGGTCACAGAGAGTTGTGGAGTCACCATCCTTGGGGATTTCCAACCTTTGGCAGGACAAAGCCAGGACTGCCCTGATCTAGTGCTGCAGACAGCCCTACTCCGAGCAGGAGGTTGGGCAGGAGACCTCCAGAGCTCCTTTCCACCAGCACTTCTGGTATTCTGGGTTTCATTGGCTACAAATGGGAGAGATGTCTGTTGACTGTAGAACCTGTCAGCTCTTATCTGTTGTGTTCCAGATTGGACATTGACTGTGCTGTCAGAGCTGTTTTGTGCCAAATGGATGTCCAGTGGAACCCAGGGTGCCAGAACCATATTCTGTCCGCCCTGCATGCAAGGGGTGCAGCAGCAGCAGCAACCAGTTTGTCTTGGTGCACTTCTTCCCTAGATTTTTCTCTAGTCTGGAGTGGCTTTTCTAAATTTTAAGGAGCAAAAAGTTCTTGGTAGAAGTGATGACACCAGTCTAAAACCCAGCATGCTGAATACATAGCAGGCATATCAGAAGCTCTTGGCCTTTCTGTGCCTACTGGAATGCCTTCTGTACAGTCAGCATGTACATGTGGCAGTAACGAAACAAAATGGGCAAGAGCTGTAGCCTTTTCCTTAGACTGTCCCAAGTGAGATAAAGTGAGAAGGAGTTTTGAACCTTTAAAACTCCAGCTGTGACTAAACTGGTGTTAACCCAAGAACAACCATTGAGTAGACTTGTGTTTAAAGGAAGGATTGTCATTGTGTTCTATGTGGTTTTGTTTGCATGATCCAAACACTCTCTTCTTTCCTGCTTCCCTCCAAAGCTTTGATCCAGGATGTGGCCCAAGATGATGTACAGAACATCTCCATCTTCCTCCCACCGTGTAATGAAGATGCTGACAAACCAGAACATGTTTACAAGTTTGAGGACAGTATCTTTTTCTGTGGCAGAGTGGTTTCCCACACCTGTAAGCCTCAATGTCAGTGGTCTGGCCCATAGGAGTGAGTGCTGACAGGCGCGTGAATGAGCCAAGCCTTCTTCCCTCACAAGCCAAAAGCTGAGAACAGGGGCATGCTGTGCTGAAATTTTGGGGCCTGCAAGTCCCATATCCTGCCTCCTTCCTACAGAGAGGAGGATGCTGTGCCTCCCTGTTGGCAGCAGTTTGACTGGGAATAGTAATGAGGCCAGACATGCAGGAGGAGTGACTTGTGGGTGAGCCACAGCCCTTTAGACACCTTTGTCATTGGCCAGCTTCCGAATCTTGTTGTTATGTCCTGCCTATTTAAAATTTCCTTCCCTGCCCTGAAGCAAGAGTGGATAGAGCTCTCACTGCAGGCTGTTCAGACCAGAAGGGAGACCAAAGGCATGCTTGTTCTTTTCTTTAAAAATCCTTCCAGTTCTGTCCCCAGCAGAGTATGAAGCATTGCGGGTCCCAGCAGCAGTCTTTGTTAACATCACTCCAGAAGAAATCACCAAGAAAACAGAAGATAAAAGGTAATGCTGCTGCAAACAACCTTGTGATAGTTTAGGTGGGCCCTGTGTTTTTCTATGGGGCAGGATGGCTACTGCTGCCAGCTCCACAACAGCCAGGCTGATCTTTTCAGTGCAGAGGGGAGGCCATTTCATCCAAGCATGGCTGAGCAATGCCTACCATGGGGAATGTGGGGTATAGTTCTACAGGTGAGGAAGTTACGTGTGCAGCAGCATGGCTGCCCATCGGGGAACTGATTGCAGAGAGAGGAGAAATCCAAAGTGGGGTCTGAAGGCAGGTGCCTAGAAGGGGGACCACAGAGCTGTGCCGAGCAAGGTGTGCCCGTGGCTGGGCACTGTCCTAGCCAAGTCCTGGCTTGCCGTGGTAGTTGCTGTGGCTTGGCAAGCTGACGCAGACGTACACTTCGAGCTGTTAAGCCTTTGTGTTGAGGGGCTGAAGTGATCAGGAAGAGCACAAACCACACCTCACTCCCCGTGCTTCCCGTCTGCCTGTGCCGGAGTAGAAGTGTGTCTGTGTGCCCTATTGAGAGCCTGCAGTTTCTGCAGTGCAGGGGCCTTCTCGCAGCTGCCCACTGAAAGGGGCTGGCTGAACGTGGTGTGCTCACAAAGTAGCTCCTGGGCTGCTCTTTATAGGTGTCCAGGGAACATTTCTGAAACAGCTTAGCATTGAAGTTACAAGTGTGTCCTGTCCTTCTGGTTCTTTGAGCCTCATCTTCCCCCTCTTTCTCCTTCAGCCATTGCTCCTTTGTTTTAGAGGAGCTGAGGTTCCTGCCTGCTGATGAGAAGAGCAGAGATCACAAAGCCCGATGCCTCTGGTTTCTGGACACCCTTATCAAGTTCAGCTACCTGAAAGTGATCAAGAAGAAACGTAAGAGTTTTCAGCTCCTCCACTTTTAAGCTACCTGCTGACACTTGGTTTGTAATTACTGCAGTAGAAAACGGCAAAGCTGCCCAGAATGAGCTGCGATCAAACAGCTAGCTGCAAGCAGTTGCTTTCAGCCCGTTTCTTGCTGAGATTGGGGACCTCAGTGCTGCTGAGGGTTGTTAGATCTGCATCTGCTGGGAGATGTACGTCTGATCCTTTTCAGTCCCTTTGTAACTGCCATGCATCAGGATGGCACCATGAAATGCTCTTGGTAGGAGACAGGGTAGCTTAGATTGGAAATTTTGAGATTCTTTCTAGTTTATCAATAGCTCTGTACTTAGAAGCATGTTTTATATTTTCGCACTTTAGTCCTAAGCCAAGAGGCTGGAAACTCTCAGCTCTCTCCCTCATCCAGTCCCCACATTCCAGGTGCAAGAGGCGTACAGTACACAAGATGTCCTTTAGTGCCTTTGAGAATGTTTTCATCATCCTTTGCTTATTTGCTGACTGTGTAGATCACAGCCATCATACCTCCACTGTCTTCAGGATCTTTCTTTTAAAATGGCAGGAACTGCTGTTCTCAAAAGCACTGCACAAAATATTTTGGTTGAGGCTTTCAAGACTTGCCATCTTCCATTGAGCTTGTGTGTATGAGTCTCCTTGTCAGTGCTGAAAATGTCATTGTTAGCACTTCCAGGGGCAGAGGTGTGATGGAAGAGGATCATTATGAAGCCTGTCATAAAAGTCTTGCTGCATTGCTGGAGATAGTGGAGTCACCCTGTAGGACTTAGTCAAGGAGGATGTGGAAAGGACTAGTTCTTGGTGCTAATAGGAATTTGTTAGTGTGGTTTCAGCGTTAACAACATTTTGTGACAGGATGGTCTGTTAAAAGACAGGAAAAGAAACACACGCATAGGCACACATGCATGCATTTTAGATTGCATCGTATTGAAGTGGGAGATCCCATTTGTAAAGAAAATAAAAGCTGTTAGGAGCTTCTCTCTGACCTGAAAAACGGTGAGACCTAAAAATCAAATGCCCAGGTTCCTTTTAGGTTCCTGGGAAGAGGCGAGAAATGTTGTGGTAGTAAATGTGCTATTATGCTAGCTGGAGATGGGCAGTATAAGAGTGTGTGTTTCTCATTCCACTGCAAAACCCCTTTCTGTCCTAGATCCAATGGGTCCTGAATGCCCACACATTATC